CAGGACTGGAAGGGCCCCCTGGAGCTCCCCCAGTCCCCCCCCGGCCAGAGCAGGGGCACCTCCAGCAGTGGCACAGGACGGCGTCCGGGCGGGTTTGGGATGGCTCCAGAGGGGGAGACTCCCCCACCTCTCTGGGCAGCCCGTGCCACTGCTCTGCCGCCCTCACAGCAGAGAAGGCCCTCCTCAGGGTGAGGTGGAACTCCCTCCGCTCAGGGTTGTGCCCGTTCCCTCTCGTCCCCTCACTGGGCACCGCTGGAAACAGACCCTTCCCATCCCCCGGCACCCTCCCTTCAGGACTGAGAAGATCCCCCTCCGGCTGCTCTTCTCCAGCCTCAACAGCCCCGAGTCCCTCAGCCTCTCCTCCGGAGAAAGACGCTCCGGTGCCCTCATCGTCTCCGCAGCCCTTTGCTGGACCCTCTCCAGCAGTTCCCGCTCCTTCTGGACGCGGGGAGCCCCGAACTGGCCACGGCGCTCCAGATGTGGCCTCCCCGGGGCAGAGCAGAGCAGAGGGGGAGGATGACCTCCCTCCCCCTGCTGGCCACGCTCTTCTTGATGCCCCCTGGGATGCCCTCGGCCGCCTCGGCCACCAGGGCCCCTTGCTGCCTCGTGGCCGTCCCGTTGGCCACCGGGACTCCCGGGTCCCTTTCCCCAGAGCTGCTCTCCAGCAGGTCACCCCTGACCCGTACCCACCAGGGGGTTATCCCTCCCCGGACGCAGCACCCCACACTCGCCCTTCTCGAACTCAAGCTCACCAGGGCGATGTCTCTGTGGCTGGGGTCCAGGACTTTGAGGACCACGTGCATCTCCCGGCTGTTGTTATTCTGCTCGGTGGAGAAATATTCGGCTTCGTCGTCGGCCCCGCCGGTCCCGCAGACGTTCAGCACCCCGTCGTAGATGTTGGTGCGGGTGCCCTGCCCCAGGTGGGCTCGCTGCAGGCAGACAAGAGAAGGCAGGAGGGGGTCAGAGCCTCAGGGCAGAGCGTGCACGTGTGTGAGAAGGGGAATTTTCAGCCTCGCACGCACCACCCGACTCTCCCCTCTTCCCTGCGTCACCTCCACAGGCCGCTGTGGGCGGCAGGGAAGGAACTGCCTCCTGCCCGCACCCCGCTGTCTCCGCACCGCTCTTTTCCCCCCCTCTCTTTGAAGAAGGAGGGAATAAAGCGCTAAACTAAACCCCAAAACCGCTCTGCGTCTCTCTCCTCTCTGCACCAGCGGCGTTGGGAGCGCGGTAGCATCTCCCCCAGGCAGGAGAGCAGATTCCTCCACCCGCTGCCCGGGAAGGGAGAACACACAACCTGAGTGATCTCGGTCTTGCGGATTTGGTGGAAGCTGAGCTGGGTCAGGTTAAGGATCTGCTTCGCGCTGTCCTTCACCTTCCGCGTGATCAACAGGTCCGAGATCTCTGCGAGAGGAGGGAACAGACGTAGGCTAAAGCCCCAGAAACTACCGCACGCCCTCGTTCCTCGACTCCCCCCGGGGCAAAAAAAAAGATCATCCATCCTCGTACCTCCTGGTTTGGGCGGACAGCATCTCTTCACCGTGAAGCTTTCGTCGCCGGACTTGAGCGTGCAGCCCTTGAGTACGTCCAAGAGTTCCCGCAAAGTAGAAAATTCTCGGTCCCACCCTTCCAGCACAAAGGAGTTTCCTTTTTTCTGGATGCGGAATTGCCGGTACTTGAGGGCTCCCTGCGCCCCAGGAGCCTGGGAAAAAAAAGAGAGAGTCAGGAAGGGCGTCGCGGTTCCCCGTCCCTCCCCAAAAAAAGCCAACAGCTCAGCCCAGCTCGTTTCTAAGCACACCAGCACCTCCCGGAGCTCACCGTATCCCGGGAACGCTGCGCCGGGAATTTGTATCTTACCTGCTGCTGGCCCCTTTTCACCACGGAGAGAATCATCCTGTTGAAGTCAAGGACGCTCCAGCGGATGATGTAGAGCCCTTCCTCCTGCTCCTCCCGGCGCAGCTTGGCGAAAACAAACTCCTCCCTGGCCGCAGGAGAAAGGGGAACGGCTTCGGATAAGCCCCGAGGACACGGCACGTCCTCCTCCTGTCCTGCTTTGAGGACTAATTTCTCTTCTAACGCTTGGGAAAACCGTGTTTTTAGAAGACTCCGGTGTCTGAATTGGTGAAAATACTGACTTTAGGACCACCTTTGGGCGCCGTTTTCCCCCCGTCTCGGTGTTTCCGCGCTCGCCGGGCGCGGGGCCGAGGAGGAGCCCGACCCGGGAGCTTCACCCAAACTGCCAACGGAGTTATTTCACGCCAAAAACGGCACATTCCGTATCAATTAGGAAGTTCGCCGAGGAGTTTCTCTCTCTCTCCCTCGAGGGCTGCGACCCCGAGAACTCCTCGCCTCCGGTGCCGCAGCCCTGAGCCCTTCCCTTCCTCCCGAAGCCGCAGCGCTCGCAGGGTCCCACGTTCGCTGTCCCCCGCGAGCGCACAGCTTCCACGGATATATATATATATATTTCATATCAATTTGGGGATCAATAGTGGGGTTTTAGTGTTATTAATGTTAACTATCCACTCTTATCCTATTAAATCTGTTTCTATTTCACCCCTCAGGTTTCCCTGTTTTTCCTCATTTCCCCCTCCTGGGTGAAGAGGGGTCATCGGGCGAAAGATTAATCGTCTTAACGACAATAAATCACGGGGAGACGCTCCAAACCAGCCCAAGTACTCACGGTGGGATCCATTTTGCTGATGGTGTCTTGTAACATCTGTACGTCTTTCACGTCGAAGCATTTCTGCAGCTCCTGCGAGGCCGAAGGAGGGGAAAACCCATCAGCGAACGCTCCTCACCCCCGAGGATTAAACCAGAACCGAATTTTGCCATTTGAACCCCCCATCCCCAAAAAAAAAAAAAGCCCCCGCCGCGGATACTCCCGGCGGGGAGGGATTCGTACCCCTCCACGGGGTCGAGCCCGCCGGGGCCAAGACGTTTCTGCCGCTCTTCTTCCTCGTATTCCTTCATCGCCTTCTCGATGCGGACCTTGGCTCGACCTCGCACCCGCTCTTTGAAAGCTTCCAGCTCGTCGTTAAATCCCTCCATGTACTGCTGGTCGGCCGTCTGCCGGGAGATGGGGGTCAGGGGGGGCCTTGGCATCCCCTTTCTCCCCCCCAAAATCCACCCTGGGGTCCCACCCGGCTGCGGCGGTGCCCAAAATCCCACTGCCACGAGGAAGGGCGGGGGGAAAAGTCCGGTTCTCACCTTAATTTTGGTGAAAAACTGCCAAACAAGCCT